AAAAAAAAAAAAAAAAAAAAAAAAAAAGAACTTCCTATTATGCACCTCTTCCTTGTTCTGCGCAAGACTTTATCCTAAAAAAATTTACTATACTTTAATTTCTGCCAAATCAAGAATTTAAAGTGATTAGGTACTTTATGAGTTACGTAAATGATGACAACAAAAAATCCTATACCTTGCTGAGAATTCGGATTATTTGTTTTATCTGCCCATGGGACACTCGTTTACTGATACAGCCAAAGACAACCAGCGCTCTTGGCTGGAGGGATGGATTATATTGGAATGCAAACCTGTGCAAAAAACAGAAGGGTGCTACATTAAACAAGTTTCTTTTCAGAATAAACGAACAGCCTGTGTAGAAAAGAAAAAAAAAGCAAGAATTGCTAAAGTACTACATAGATAGTTTTATGTTATTTTGCAGTCTCTAACATACTTCTGTGCTAGCTCCGTCCACTGGTCCAGCCACTTGCACGTTGGAATATCTCTCATGCAAGCCTAAAACAAAAGAAATACTATCTGAGTATGTGTAACATTAATCAAAAGCACCTTTCAATTTAAAGCATGTACCTGTGGTTTATCTCAAAAAAGGGCTTCTTAAATGAGTACTTATTCCAAAACCTAGTCATCCTACAACACTTGCTTGCCTGATAGCACAAGTAGCACTATGACTTATTTTATGCACAATGTCTTATCTTATTGCTTTTTAATTCATACCTCCATGATCTCCAGCAAAGCTTCAGTAACTGTTTCCAGGGAAGTCAGTGCAAATGTCTCCCTCTCATAGGAACCAGGAGAGAACGACCTATCTCGATAACTGGATCGGAATGCTATGACAGCTGCTGATTTCACTTTGCTGATTCCAAACAGCAAATAAAATTTGGGCAGCGAGAACTCGGTCAGGCTCAATCTCAAAACTTGCTTGGTCTCCTCTGTTGAATAAGTTTGTATATATTAGATTTAATACAGAAAATCCCATCCCATGTATTTATAAAGACCTTTACAACCAAGGCTTATTTGCGAGGAGCTAGAAGTGAACCATCTTCCCAGCTCCATAACACCAGGTGCTTTTGTGCACATTTTAATTTTTTTCCCCATGCTACTGGCCTGCATTTATGCCACTAGAAAAATAAGTCTGCTGCATCTCAAATGGTGGTCACAGAGACTGAGTTATGTTGAAAAATGAGCAGTGGGCACTTTAGTTGGGGAGACGATTACCTGAAGTCTCTCTCAAATGTGCTCTAAGAAATAAAAAAGTGCAAAGAATAGCTGGCTTATAAATTTGCAAATGGTACCTGGCAACTCAGGTTTAGGCCAATTAGGTTTACAAATTCTGTTTTAGGCCAATAAGCCAAGTCATTTAATTAGTAGCAGCTGCAAGACTGATTTTTTTCTGCATACCTAGTCTTTAAATTCACTACACTTCAATTCTCCCACCAGTAGACTAGGGACATCAGCTATCTCTCTGGCATCATGCAAAGATTATTCCCTTACTGTAGGTAAAGAGCTTTCAGGTTCTTTAAACAGGACTCCATAAGTGCAAATAAACATGTATGATTAAGTAAGGAGTAGGGTCCGTTTAACATGCATGTTAAATCTGTGTGAGAGTGTGATAAGAAACGACAAAGTCATACTTCCTAATGAGTTTTAACCTAGATGATTCTAATTTTTTAACTTGGGATCTCTGAAATGCAGAAAAAAAACTATGCAAGTTATCCTGCCTAGTGTTTTAGTTTCCCAATGGTCTTCCATAAGTGATTTTGGTTACAGCAGGTAATTTCCACATGCTCCACTGCACCCACAGCAGACCAACCCTGCTTTTATCTATGATCCAATACTATGATAGAATTAATCCTTACCAGTATAATCAGAAAATGCAACACCTCCACCCCATCTTCAGCCTCATATATAATGACTTTGGAGAAATGAGGGGAAGACGACAGCTCAGGGAAACATTTGCTAAAACAAGTAGCAATCAACGTAAAATAACATCTCGTAAGAACTTACCACTAAAGTGAAGTTGTGAACAAGTGCACAGAGAATGAATGATGTTGATGACCAGGCCATGGGTGGAAGCTCTAAGGGAAAGAGGACCAGTGGCCACCAACAAAGTAACTACATGGAAGAGGTAGGGGAGATGTGCTGCCACATCAAGAGAGTTGTTAAAGGAGAGCATCAGCATGTAACGTGCTAGAATGGCAATATCATCCCACATCAGGTGTTGTTCTAATGTAGGAGTTGGAGATAGACAGGTCTTGTCGATTATTTTGCACATCCTTCCAATTACCTGAAAGGGAGCAACCATTTTCTTTTAGTTGAAGCAAAAAACGGGGCTCACAATTTCAGTCAAATCCTATTACATTTAAATTTAGTATGATTTGGATGACAGAAACACATTTAAAAAATACATTGTCATGCTGTTGCTTAGACCTGGTATATAAAGACCAGTTATTAGATTAACTAGATTTAAGGAGACAGTAAAGAAGGGAAGCACTCACTTTGCTTGAAACCAGCTTCACATTTCCAGAAGCCAGAGCTACAGCTGTATCTGCCATAACTTCAGCTTTTATGGATCCTAAGCCCCCTGTTGCACTGGTTTTGATGAAACTGTCTAGCACTACATCAAGTAGATCAGTTATCTGTTGGAGAAATTAGTGTCATTCAGAAGTAAACTTCATTTGTCTGTATTAAGTCACCTATTAAACAAGTGATACTTACAGATATGTATATGCTACGAATTAGAACACCAGTTTCAGTGATTTCTTAAGAAAGATTATGCCTACTTTCAAATAATAGTTGCAAGTCTGAATTAAGAGCAATTCCATCAAATTCCATTACAGCCATGAGTTTTAAGTATGTGCACTTATCAGCAAGAGAGAGGCCAAGAGGAATTAGTTTATATCATTTGCTGCATCTTCCTTCCCATTTAATCCACGTTGTTCAGTAAAGTACTGATTCTAATGTAAATTGCATTTGAGGTATATCAATTTGTCTAAAAAAAGTAAAATCATATTTCTGCAAAGTGTGGCTTAAAGTGTAGCTATGCACCACCTTAGCTGTCCATAACACCATAATTCGCATCTTGCCTGAATTCAAGTTTTGAGAAAACTTATACCCACATTCAATATGGTTAAGTAATGCCAAAATGTTTCTCTTTAACTGTCCAGACCAATTACTAACATAGAATGCATCCCTATGCAATATTTGATTGCTGATCCAAAATCCACTCCATTCCCTGGGTGAAATCCTGGTTCTCCTGAATGGTAAAACTCCCAAGACCCAGGATTTCGCTCTTTTAATTCCACACCCTTCACACTTGTCTGAATCAAGTTTCATACTGGAAATGGCATAATAAGAATGGCACTTGTATCGACATGATTTAGGATTGCAAGCTGTACTGAGTTTAGAGGTTCAAGTGAGTGGAACAGGAGAGGGGGCCCAACAATTCCATGCGGTACATTTTAAAGGAATTTTGTGAGGCTGGGTTGCATCATTTCTTTTTCAGTGAGAAAATTAAAAAAGCATGAAAACAGAGAAGTGAAGAAGCAATGAGAAGGTGTTCACATTGTCAACAGGAAGGCCACTGCTAGCCAAGCAGAAAAGCAGGTGTGTATACTCATGGGGGGCAAAGCAGGCCTCCATTAGCTCAAATGATCAATCTGGATGTCACATCTGTGAGACGTTTTTTTGCTCCACCTTGTTCTGTCCTGGGGCAGAAGAGGTACTTGGGCTAATGGCCATTTGGACCAGGAGATGGCCTTGGATACTTCTATGAATATGATAAGGGAAGTGCTGAACTCTGCTGGTTTAAAAATGATTAGTGGTATTGGATTTTTTAAGGCCTACTTAAGATTTTTACTGTATTTACTTGAATCTAAGATGAGATCCTTTCCCCCAAATCAGCAGGGAGAAAAAAAGCCCCTTTTCTTCAATTTGCATACAAAGTACAGGGGAGAGGGGCAGGTGGCTGCTGTGGCTTTGACTCTGGCTCTGAGCCCAGGTCAGGACCGGAGCCAGATTCATAGCAGACACATGCCTCCCCCCGCCAACTCTGCTTGCCCTCTGCAGCTTCTTCCCTTTCTCTCCCTTACTGTCAGGTGTAGCTTGGTTCCAGCTTCGACTGGGTTCCCTCCAGGGCACAGAGCACATGGAAACTCTGTCCCCTGCATGGCCAATCAGCAGTGCTGACACTGCTGCAAGGGCTGAATTTCTACATGCTGTGCTCCAGGAGGGACCAGAGCCTGAGTGTATCTGACAGTAAGGATGGGGGAAATTAACAGGTCAGCATAGGGTGGTGGATCTTGGGAGGCAGGGAGGTTGGTGGGATCAGAAGAGCTGGTGGGTCTGTGGAGCGGTAGTTGTCTATGGGGGGTGTG